AAAAAAAAAAAAAAAAAAAAAAAAAATTATCCTGCAAGGCCTTTTCCAAAACACACATGCACACACAGAACCATACACACACCCATACACAAATGCTCACATACACACGCACACACCCCCTCACACATGTACAGTCATACACACATACATATCCTCACACATACACCCTCACATACATATATATCCTCATACATGCACAGTCATACACAAACCTTCACACACACTCACACACGATCCACACGTACATGCAATATGTACCATCCTGAACACACAGGACGGCGTGTCCATCTCTAGCAAAGGGATATGTAAGCAGATGGTTTGCACAAAGAAAGGAGAGTAGAAGGTGGTCTCGGCAAGAGGTAAAGAGCAGGGAAGGGTGGTTCCCTTGGCCAGAGGTCCCACCTCATGGCCTCCTGGTGACCTGCTGACAAACGTGGGGTCACTGCGTCCAACGCTTCATTCAGCAGTGATGCAGGCTGGGATGGCTGTGACATCTGTCAGCCGCTCAGATAAAAGGGGTGAATCGAAACAGGGTCCTACTGTACAGCACAGGGCACTACATTCAATATCCTGTGATAAACCATAATGGAAAAGAATATGACAAAGAATATGTATATATATAACTGAGTTATATATGTATAACTGAGTCGCTTTGCAGTACAGCAGCGATTAACACAACACTGTAAATCAACTGCACTTCAATACAAAATACTGTAATTTTTTTAAAAGGGGGTGAATTGCTTCTTTTTATATAACAGGTGATTCGTATTATTCATCTTGCTCTCAGTAAATCCCTTAAAAGGAAAAGTCAACAACAAGCCACAAGGGGGAACCAGGTCAGACAGCAAGTGCAGGAGGCCCGGAGGCCCTGGTGTTTGAGAAAAATGCCTACATAAGCCCCGCCAGGGCCTCCAGATAAACCCCTCTGGCCCTCACCAAGTCCACAGCCGGCTGCCAGGGCTCTTCCTACCAGTTGCTGACTGGCACCAAGAACCTGGTCGTCCTGAAGCTCTATCCAGACCCTCATATTCTATATGAAACCTGGGATGAACCTTCTAGTCAGACTCTGGGCCAAACTCTGCATTTTACAGAGAAAAATGGGTTTTCTCTGTAAGGAAAAAAAAGGAAAGGACTCATCCTCATTCTAAAGCCCAAAGTCCACAACCAGTTTGTGCAGAATACCGCCTGGAATCACACTGAGGGGGAACTCTCTTCCCACCTCACCCACCGATGCACTGCCTGAAACTCCGCATCCTTCAAGCCTCAGCTCAGTGGCGCCTCCTCCAAGAAGCCTGACCAGCCTCTCTCCTCCTTCCAGTTGGAGCTTGAAGGCCCTCTCCTCAGACCCCGTGTGCCAGATGACCTTGTTAGAGAGCTGGAAACAGGCTGGATGCTCTGGCTCATCCGTCACCATGCAGTGGACACAAGCATCTCAAATGAGCAAAGAATGTCTAGTCTATGTCCTCAGTGCCTGGTGCTCGGCAGGGCACAGTCGAGGTAAAGTATAATTAAGTGCCCATCTTGGTCAGCAAGGAGTGCTCTCTGATCGACCACCTGACCCTCTCACTCTGTCTCTCTGACCTGCATCTGAACAAGTATCCCATCTACTCTCCAGACCCTCATTTCAACACTCAACTAAATGTATTCCCAACCGGACCACGGGAGCTGCTGTTACCCATGGCGGGTCTCCCCCAGAAGGCTTGGCCCACTAGTTCTCAGCTTCGGTTGCACATTGATGCCACCTAGGGGGTTCTCACCCCCCTCCCCAGGACACACCGCAGGGCACCCCTCTGTGCAGGGAACCCAGGCATCAGATTCTTAACCTCCCCATTTGGTTCCAGCATGTGGCCAAGGTTAAGAAACATGCTCCTAAGAAAAATGTGATTCCAGAAACTATGTGTTGGTTCAGCCAGTACTGTGTGTGGGTAGATGTATGACAGTGTGATAGACACACAGAGTGACACACGCAGTAAAAGAGAAAGAGACTGTCCATCATAATAGCCAGTGTTCCTCACCCCCGACACTATTACATTTCAGGCCAGATCATTTTTGTTGTGGGAGCTGCCCTGTGCATTGTAGGATGTTTAGCAGCATCCCTGGCCTTAACCCAATAGCAAACCCTCCTCGCACCAGTTGTGACAACCAAAAATGTCTCCAGACATTGCCAGATGTCCCTGGGGCGGGGGAGCAAAATCACCCCTGGATGAGAACTACAAGTATAGACTAGCTGCCAAATAACTTATTGCATATTTATGTTCACATTTCAACTGTAGGTCACACAGGCATTTTTCCAAACTTGACTGAGTGGCTGAGGATTCTGGACACAGGTCTGTATCATACACGGGATGGGTGGGAAATGGTGGGTGAGTCAAGAGAGAATCACAGAAACTAGATCAGGCAGGTTCAAGGCAGCTAAGATGAGTCAGTGGTGGTCAAGCCTAAAAAAGATGACCAAATCCAACAAAACCCAAAAAGCCAGATATTCAGTGAAGTAGCAATGCCAGAGGCAAGCAGAGGGTTGTCACAGGTGAAGGCAGGTGATGACCAGGAGCCAGGAAGAGGGAAATGAGAGAGAAGGAGCTGTTGGAAGTTCTGGGCAGGGAAGGACCACCCCAAACAGCGTTTGGGGATAAAGTGTAGCACAGTGTGTAGCTGGCATGGGGGGAGGAAGGAAACTGGGGGCAGAAGCGGAGCCATAACACCCACACCCACATGCTGCCTGATGCCTAAACCACCTCCAGTCCCTGCCCAGGCCGCCCTTCCACAACCAGAGCTCAGGGCAGCCAGGGCCAGATGCTGGCAGAGAAAACACCCAGCGGACGCTGGAGCTGAGCAGAGCCTGTCTCCTGAGCACCTGGAGGGGGCTTGCTGCCTCAGAGCCTCTTGAACCAGCCTCCCACAGCCTCCAGGGCCCCCGAGGAAGAGCCTCTGGAACGGCCCCTCCAGACATCACCCCAAAAGAGCAAAGAGCCAGTTGGAGTTCCCCAGGGACCCTTGGGCCAGGCATCCTGCTCCCCACTGGCTCCCTCACCATCCACCCTGCCCCTTCCCAACCCTCATCCCCCGTGCTGGAGGCTTGGTTTCCCCCAATATCCCCTCACATTCTTTCTCATCCCCTCGGGATCCTCTGTCTCTGCCCACCTCTGAGCCCTGGTGTGCTCAGACTTCAATGCTGGGCCTCTTCTAAATGCATCTCAAACCATCTTTGTCTAAAGCCCGACCGTGCACTCCCCCATTCGAGACATGCTTTGTTTGTCCTCTACTGAGCCCAGGGTAAAGTCCAACGTACCCGAAGCCCTGCTGCTCTTGCGCCAGCCCACCCCCCAGACCCCTTCCACCTGTGTGTGGAGATTCCAGCCACCTCTGACTTCTCCTACCAAGGAGAACAAAGCCACATCCACCCCTAACAGCCTGAATCGCTTGCTCGTTTCTAAGCCATTCTGTGAAACAGTGATTTGCTGATTCTTCTGTGTCTGCCACCAACTCTGAGCAGAAACCCAGGCGACTGTCTGCAGCCTCGGCCCCACCCCATCCCCGGTACTTAGTACTCAAAGGAGTTGTTACTGCTTGCTGAGTACTATTTTAAGTGCCTTACTATGAATTACTTTATTTTATTCTCATAAAGTAGCTGTTTCATGCTCTTATAATAATAATATTATAGAAATATAAGTAATAATATTGTTTACCCCCTTGTTATAGTCGAGAGTACTGACGTACAGAAATGTGAGGAGACTTATTCAAAGTTATATAGTTTGAAAACGGGGAGATTCAAACCGGGACAGTCTGCCCACAGCCAGTACTCTTCACCGCTGTGCGACCCGGCATCATACTGAGAGACTTTTAAGTGAACTAATCCAACTACCCACACAATTCTGCAGGGAGCAAAGGCCAGTGCTGCTGCAGATCCTCTGGGCCTCAACACAGAGATGCAATGAACAGAGGGTGAGCATGCGGCCCGGCTGATGTGGGCACAGGTGGGAGACCAGCCTTAACTACAGACACGGCTTCACAGACATGCTGACTCTGCCTGGGTCCCTGCTACTTACCTTCACCTGAGTGGGGTAAAAATACCAGGAATGTCAGCACTTCCGTCATGGGAGGGAGAGACAAGCCAGGCACGAATTGGCCTGAGGCCAGGGTGGCAGGGTCTAGTAGCACCCACCACAAGTCACAGAATGAAGGCAGTGGAGGGTACTCTGGTTCAGAAAGACTAGGTGGATGCCACAAACCTACAGGGCAGAGCTGAGGCCAAAGACCAAAATCAGAGGCACAAGGTGAGGGTGGAACCTGGTGGCAGCAGGGGCAGAGATTCTGCCTACCCAGACAGAGCATCACTAGCCGGGGATGCTGGTCCAGATTGCCTGGCACCCAAGGGAAGAGGGAGAAGATGGGGTTGGCACCAGCCTCAGGGCACAGCTCCCCAGCATCCCATTCAGGGGAGCCACCCAGCTGCCCACGCCGGATTCTGGACTCCCACCATCGGCCCCACTGTTTCCACTTTAAAAACTGTTCGAACAGTAGGGGAGCAGAGCTGGCACCTCCGGAGAAGAAAAGGCGTGAATAAGAAGGTGAGATCACCTTACACCTGGGACTCCACAGAACCTCCATCTAGCACCCATGCTGGGCTGGGACCAGCACCTCATTTGGTTTCATAATGAACAAGCATTCAAATGATCTCCCTCTCCTTTCAAACAGCCAGAGCCCGGAACTCACCCTCATGGGCTCATCAGGAAACCCGGGTTTGCTCGGCCTGTCCTGGCGCCGGGATCTCAGGACCTGTTTGGCCTGCTTTTCCGTCAGAATCGGAGAGGCCTCTGAAAAAGTCAGGAAGGGACCTTAGGGACTCTCAGACACACGCATCCATGCTCCTGCTCACCATCCAAGGCGAAGCATTTGCAAGTCCAATTTGGGTCAACGCACAAAAGTTCTTTCAAAGGGACCTGTCCCAAAGGACGTGGCATTCCAGAGGGCTCAGAGGGGAATTTTTAATTGTTTCTAATATGGTTAACTCAGAGTAAAAGCTGCACAACTGAGGCATATTTAACTGCTGCCGCCATGGCTCATTCCTCTAAAAGTGGCTGTTAATTTAATGAACATGTTTCTTTAAACATATTTTCTTCAGTTCACTGGTCAGTGTGTTTATTGTCCCTCAGGGTTGCTTTGGTGGGATTCTTTTAAATCCTCAATACACTAAATCAAGTTTAAGTTGTTATTAGAAAATTCCCCCATGACAATAAGATTATATTAAACTTGATAAGCACCCATGATCCTTCAAAGAAAATATTATAATTAAAGTAAGTCAAGTTTTGATAATCACACACAAATTCTAAAAGATACTTTTATAATAAAAGTATATCAAGGGAATTCTCTGGTAGTCCAGTGATTAGGACTCCTGCTTTCACTGCAGTAGGCCTGAGTTCAATCCCTGGTCGGGGAACTAAAATCCCACAAGCCACACGGCGTAGCCAAAAAAGAAAAAGAAAAAGGAAAAAAGAAAGTATATAAAATTCTGATGATCTCAGATAAACTCTAAAAGACGGTATCCTTGAAGATTTATCAGCATTTTTGAGAATTAGTGTTCAATATGTTTAAAGATTAAAAAAATAATTTATCCGTAATTATACCAATTCCGGGAGCCTGCTCTTAGGAAGAAAAAAAAAGAAGCATTGAATTATTATACATTACATATTATTTGAAATTTTGAAAAAATATTTTAAAAATATAAAATAGACTTATTTCAGTTTATCTTGTCAGCACAGAAATAGGTTTCGGGAGTTAATGCTCACCTGAGAAGAAAATCAGTAAGGTGAGAGACAGCACGAGCACAAATAACCTCTTCATCCTGCCTTGATCCCTCTCTCCGCCTGTTGTGGAATGAATCCCCCCCGGTCAAAGAGCCAGCCTACTTAAAGAAAGCCACATCCGGCCCAAAGGCTGTTTATGCTCTGACTAACAGCACTCACAGCATGATGCTAAACACATCTGACACTAAATTTTCAGTATGATCACGAAAATGTTTTCCTCTGAATTCCTATAAATTTTCATCCTGAGGAAGGAAATTACCCCTCTGTCATAAAACTTTTGGAGCTTGAATTTGACAAAGCAACACACGACAACCATTTCATTTAAATAGATATTGTCTATATATACATCATGGAGTAGTTTGTGCTTATCTGTACCTTCAGTTTATGCTCCTACTGTTTCATTAAGAATTAATCACCTCTCACATTTACATATTTTATGACATTTTTCCAAAACTCATTTACCAATCCATTTTGACCTCCCCAGTAATTTCAGAAATTAGCAGGGAAATTAGCAAGGAGCCTAATGAGGGGAAAAAATTTTTTTCAGCTGACCTTGAAGCCAGATAGACCAGGGTTCATGCCCAGGCTTCCCCTCTTTCTAGCAACATAACCTTCGGTCAATCACTTATCCTTTCTGAACTTCAGTTTCCTCTCCTGTACAAAGGAAATAACAGTACCTACCACGTGGGGTGTGATTAAGGATGCGGGATAAGGGATGAGATGCATGGCTCATCTTCATTTTACAAGTAAGGAAGTGGGGTTCAGACAGGTGAAATGATGTCCAAGTTCACACATTTTGCTGAAGTCGAGCCAAATTCTTCTGTTTTTAAAGCCTGGAGCTCTTCCCATTATACCCCAAAAGGACCTTGTGCAATAAGTCAGTAATACTGTAAGCAGCCTTACTCCACACTTAAGTTTATTTTTATAAAGATAATAAAATCTCAATAAGCTGAAGTCTTTTTAAATTCGTCACCAATTTATATTACATAAATTATTAAATATATTATAAAAATATGTGTGGAAGGTATGTGGCATTTATTGGGATAAAATTCTCAGTTCAGAGAAATGATCTGATGTTTCTGTAGTTACTTTGCCAGCTCAAAAGAAAACAACCCCCTATCGGTGGTTGTCCAAGTTTATGCTAATGTTGTGTAACTGATATTAAACTTAAATGTTCTTCCCATTCTGCTAGTATAAAAATAGTCTGAACCGACTTATCAAGGAAAAGAAATCATGCATTGTTAGCAAAGTTGCCTCATATGTTAATTTGCTCAAAATTAGATGTTTGGTTTTATGTACTCTGTTGCTATTAACATCCTTCTGTACTCACGGTTTTCAATAACTGCGAAATTTTAGGAGCACTATTTTAGCAATATACATTTGTCACACGAAGCATCTTGGTTTTTTATGTGCGTTGTCAAGTTTTTTATTCCTTTTGTTCTTTGTGGTTGGAACAAACACTAACTGCATTGTTTTGTTATATCAAATAAACATCTTCTGTGGACCAGAAAAAAAATTTATACCTAGCTAGAAATTTCTAATGTATCCAATGTAAATTCAGTACAAAAGTATTTTTTAATTTGGTAACTGTTGTCTATATCAGCACTGTTCAATAAAATCATAATGTAAGTTATGGATGCAAGCCACATAAGCTAAATTTTTCTAGTAGCCACATTTTTTAATAGTAAAAAAACAGGAAAAAATTTTAAAATTATATTTTATTTAACATGAAATACGCAAAATATTGTTTCAACATGTAATCAAGATAAAGTACTAATCAGATATTTTACATTCTTTTTTTTTGTACCAAGTCTTTAAAACCTGGTGTGTATTTTATACTTGTACATTTCAAGTGCTCAGTAACCACATGTGGCTAGTGGCTACCACACTGAACAGTGTAGGTCCAGATTCTTCCATCTCTCATGCCACTACCAGAGTCTAGGCTCCCAACTGGTCTCCCAGCTTCCCTCCCTGTTTGCTTCAATCCATTCTCCATGCAGCAGTAATAATGGTCTTCTTAAAACAGAAATACAAAATATAAATTGGACCTCATCACTTCCCTGCTCACGAGTCTTTCTTTATCTTCCCACTGGGTTCAGAACAGAATCAGAAACCCTACCATGCACTACAGGATGCTGTGTTACCTGGGACTGTGGTTCTTTCCAACCCCACTCCAAGCGCACCCCTCCAGCTCATGCCAATCCAGCTACACTTCGTTACTTTCAATTTAACAAGCTCTTTCCCACCCAGGATCTTTGCACATGCTCTTCCTCCCTCTTTTAATGACTGGATTCTTCTCAGTCTTCAGGTTTCAATTTGTAATTTCTCTTGCTCAAGCAAGCCTGTCTTTACCAGCATACTTAATAAAGGTTCCCTGCCACCCCACCACCACCATGACTCTCTACCTCACAGCACTCCCCGTAATGGGTAAATGTTGTTTTTGTTTACTTTTAAAAATCTGTCTCCTCCACTGGACCTTAAGCTCTAGGTAAGCTTATGTTACTTTTTTTTTAAATATTGTTTCTAATATTCTCCATTTATTTATTTGTTTGTTTGTTTGTTTGTTTTTGGCTGTGTTGGGTCTTTGTTGCTGCGCGCAGACTTTCTCTAGTTGTAGCGAGCTGGGGCTACTCTTCGTTGCAGTGCGCGGGCTTCTCATTGTGGTGGCTTCTCTTGTTGTGGAGCACAGGCTCTAGGTGCGAGGGCTTCAGTAGTTGTGGCTCGCGGGCCCTTAGAGAGCAGGCTCAGTAGGTGTGGCACACGGGCTTAGTTGCTCCGTGGCATGTAGGATCTTCCCAGACCAGGGATTGAATCCGTGTCCCCTGCATTGGCAGGCGGATTCTTAACCACTGCACCACCAGGGAAGTCCCGTGTTACTTTTCTAATTAAAAAAAAAAGAGAGAGAGAAAGAGAAAGAAAAGGGAACCTTGGGTGGACAGGAGAAGTGAGACTAGAGAAAGCCTGTATCCCACCCTGGGATGCTGGTTCAAGGTCTCAGGTGGAGAGGGCCCCTCAGGTGTGATACTCGCAGGGTCATTCAAATGCCTTTCAGGTGGGCTCTGGAGATATCATCTCAAAAGGGGGAACTATAGAAAAACTGAAAGAGCAAGGTAACCTGTTTGTGAGTGTCACTCTGGTGGGGAGAATTCTCTTCTACCTGCCTATGCTCCTTTCTAGGGAAAGTGTCAGCCAGATCAATTAGATGAGTCAACAGGGCTCACAGTAGAAGACACAATTCCCCAAAAATCCACAAGGTGGCAGAGTAGAGAGAAGAACCTGGGACAAAAAAGGTCAGGGGAAAGACACTTCAGGGCACCAACATTCACCATTCCAGAAGTTGCCAAGAATACCAGGGAATCCACTGGAGGTGGAGAGAGGTGGCACTGCAGTGCCTCAGACTATTTTCCTAGGATTTTAATTGATCTGAAGGTCCCCATCAGATACTGAGACATGGGAAAGCTACATTACTAATTTGACAACATTTAAGAATATATAACAGAAGAGTGCTACCACCCATATCACAGCACCCTGACATAACTGATATTTTCATTCATGTGGGTTTCCCATCTCTTTTAAAAAGAAATTCTTAAATGTTTAAAGATCAGTGATAAAGCCAACACCATCAAGTTCTCAACACCATCACACTGCATACTCTTTCAATAGGATAAGACAGTGATTTCAAATTCTGTGAGCTAAAGAAACTTCAGAAACAAGGGAACATCTTTTTTTTTTTTCCTATAGAAAGCTGTTGAATCTGTCTCAAGAGAATTATAATGTGTCCACATTCTTTAGGCCCAGAGCCAATAAAATAAATTCTAACATTCCTTTGTGCAGTTGTTTTCTTTTTTATTATTAGTTTTTTTGGCTCCCTTTCCCAGTAGACTATAAACTCTATATTTTTACCATGTACATATAATTGTTGTATACTATTCATAACAGTACCTCCATAAATCTCATGTGTACCTACCCACACATTAATTTATAGGCACACTGTGTGGGCAGATGTTAGGTTTGGGTTAGGCAGATTGAATTATTAGCACCAGTTCTTCACCATCACCACTGCACATCTATGCTCTTCACCATATAACTTTGCAGTCCTGCCCCTTAACTTTGGGCCCAACCACGTGACTTGCTCTGGACAATGGGATGGTAGCAGACATGACACAAACAGAGGCAGGAAATGTGTTTGCAGAGTTAGGTGTACCCTCTTGCATTTTGCAGCCATTGCTACAAAAAGAGCTTCCCCCAGACAGCTGCCACCCTTCAAGCTAGGTCTCAGAATTAACTCCCATGAAAAGTGTCTGCACAGATGTACAGCCTCCAGCAGATCCACCCAGCCCAGTCCAGCCTCACTCAGCTGACCTCCAGCTACCACCACCTGTAGCAGAGCCTCCCATTAACCTGCAGACCCTTAAGACTAAATGATTATTTCAAGCCACTGAGCTAGGAGCACTTTGTTACACAGCACTACTCTGACAACAGATAACTGATACAGGGGGTATAATGGGATGGTCGGCGTGTCCAAATCTGGGTGCTTTTGGGTCTAAGTTAATAATAGGGTCCTGCCAGATGCTTCATTCAAAAGTGAATGAATATCTGCTGTGTGGGCTGAGTGATATAATGGTCCAGATTGTGGGCTGCAGAGTTATCAATAGAGCTGGGCTTGAATCCTGGCTCTGAAACTTATTATCTGTGTCACACTGAAGCTGTGTGACATTGGGCACATTTCTTTACTATCCAAGTCACTGTTTACTCACTATTAAAATAAAATAATAATTATAATAAAACTTACATCTTAAGGTGTTTTGAAACTTAAAAGAGAAAGTGTTTGTAAAGTACTTGACAGATATAGTAACTAATACCTGGAAACTATTACTGTTTCATTATTCCTCTTTCTCTGTGAAATCATTCTTCTTTATATTTGCATACCCTCCCCATTCTCAGACACATGATAGAAAGCCTGTAAAAAAATTTTTAATGACCAAATGATATCGAGATTAACCAAACACATCTTAAGATAATTTTATATACTGTTGAAATAAAAATACATCTTTATTAGAAAATAAAATATGGCTCCTTTTAAGTGTGAGTTGCTTTCCCCTGCTCTGTCTCCACACCCCACGCCCTGAGTTTCCTTTCACGTGTCCTCAGTCCTGCTACACAAACACACACCTTCCTCTCTGGAGCAGCAATACAATGGTAAGACGGTTTAGCCTTGGACAGGGCCCTTTCCGGCCTGCTGCATGCTTCCCCGAGCAGGCTATAATTTCTGCTCTGGGCCAGGACGTTGGCCTCGACTTACATCTGCCCAGCAGGTAAGGATGGCCAAGGTCTCACCAGGTCCCTGACAGCTATTGCCAGGCTTCTCTCCAGCCTAAACAGGAATGACCACAGCATTGGCAAAGGTGTAGGAATGTAAGATGGTACAAATAAACACATGAGGGATGGAGCATGGACTGAATAACTCGTGAAACCACCTCTAAGGCTACTGTTATATTTCATTGAGGAAAATGGCTAAGGATGTAACTGGAAGAGAAAAGCTCCAATTCTTCTGGAGAAAAAAGTACTGAAATATGTGTTGTTTTTCTCTGTGGGATTTCAGTTGGGATGACAAGTTTGAGGGATTAAGAGATACTCTAGCAGCGGTTCTCAAATCTTAAGGTGCGTAAGAGTCACCGGGAGGATCATCAGACATCTGAGAAAGCCTCTGACACGGAAGATGAAGACAAAAGAAACTACAGGAAAAAGCAACTTGAGGCAATCACAGATCAGGCAAGGAGAGGAAGGAAAAAAATATCTAACAGTATCCTCCGAGAGATGAGAGAAAAATTTTGCTCCCATGAAGCATGAATAGGATGCTGTAAAAAAGTAAGACTCAGAAAACAAATCAACAAAAAAGTTCTTAGAAATTAAAAACTCAACAAAAAGATTCAAAAATAAAGCTATGAAAATCTTTTAGAATATTAGAGCAAAAATGAGAGATTTTAAAAAGAACTGAGAAAAAAATGTTTAAACAGAGGACATTTATCCAAAGGATTTGTAAACTTATGTCCACACAAAAACCTGCACACAGATGTCTCTAGAAGCTTTACTCATAATTGCCAAAACTTGGAAGCTACCAAGATATCCTTCAGAGGTAAATGGATAAATAAACTGTGGTCCATCCAGACAATGGAATATTATTCAGCACTAAAAAGAAATGAGCTATCAAACCATGAAAAGACATGGAGGAAATTTAAATGCACATTCCTAAGTGAAAGAAGCCAATCTGAAAAGGCTATACACAGTATGAGTCCACTGATATGACATTCTGGAAAAGGTAAACCTATGGAGACAGTAAAAGGATCAGTGGTTACCAGGGGTGAGGGTCTGGGGAGAAAGGAATAAGCAGAACCCAGATTTGTGGGCACTGTAATATCCTGTATGACACTATAATAGTGGATACATGTCATTATACATTTGTCCAAACCCACAGAATGTACACCACCAAGAGTGAACTCTAATGCAAACTATGGACTTTGGGTGATAATGCTGTGTCAATGTAGGTTTATGGATTGTAGCAAACGCACCACTCTGGTTCAGGATGTGGATAATTTTTCTGTACTTTCTGCTCCATTTTGCTGTGAATCTAAAACTGCTCTAAAAAATAAAGTCTATTTTAAAAAGAGGGAGGGGGTATGGGGATATATGTATGCATATAGCTGATTCACTTTGTTATACAGCAGAAACTAACACAACATTGTAAAGCAATTATACTCCAATAAAAATGTTAAATTAATTAATTAAAAATAAAAAGAGAGAGAACAGTCTAGGAGGTCCAACATCCAGATAACAGAAGTTTCAAAAAGAACACAGAAAATAGAGAGGAGCAAATCTACAAAGTAATTCCAGAACTGAAGGACATGAGCTTCTAGACTGAAAGGGTCCAGAAAACCTGACAAAATACATGAAAACAGACTCACACCAAGGCACATCTTTGTGAAATTTCAGAACATTGGAGAAAAAGCGAAGATTCTACAAGTTTCAGGAAAGCAAAAACAAGTTGCGTTCTTGGGATCAGGAATAAGAGTAACGTCAGACATCTCTACAGCAACACTAAAAGCAAGCAGAAATGGAGAACTGTCTTTAATGGTGTGAAGGAAAATTATCTCCAACTTGGAATTCTACACGCAGATAAATAATCAGGTATGGAGAGTGGAATAGAGACATTTGTAGACATGCAAGGACTCAAAAATATGCTTCCCATGTACCCTTGTTCTAAAAGCTACTGAAGGATGTGCTCCACAAAAACTAGAGAATTCACCAAGAAAGGGGAAGTCACAGGACCTAGGAAACAGAAGGTGCAAACAGGAGGGCGGTGAAGGGGATCCCGGATGACCTCTGTGTTCTGACATCGGGGGCAGGCGGTCCAGTTGCTTCTAATATTTTAGAAACAACTTAAATAGCCAACAACGGAGTTAAGGTTACATAAACTGTGAACTGTATTCATAGAATGGAATATCATGCAACCATTAAATACAAATTTATAAAAACATGTAAAGGATATTTTGTCATGTTAAATGGAAAATGAGCCAGATAGAGAATATATCTACCATATGATCAAAATTATGTGTACAAAAAAGTTACCCATTGTTTCCATAGAAAATAATGGAAGAAAATAGGCCAAAATGTTCAAACATAGAGTGTCTTTGAGGTGAGAGATGGATGATTCTTTTCCTTCCTTTATATTTTTCTGTATTTCCCAAATGTTCTATAATGGGAATGGGGAGGGGGAATCCTCACTTTTTAAAAGTATATTCTTTTGTTACCTTTCCAAAACTAAACTAATTTAAGGGCTCTGCCTCAACTAGGATTCATAAAAGACAACGATATTTCCATACACATGAAGGCTATCAGAGGGGAAGGGAAGCTTTAGAGATCTCATCCAACTGTCCCATGTGGCAGATGAGGAACGTGAGGCCCAGAGAGATGAACAGACAAGCACAGGAAGACACAATTAGATGTGTGAGGGCAGGAACCTGATCCCAGGCCTCATAATGCCATCTAACTGCTCTTCCCATTTCACCACATGCCCTCCCTCAATCTTCACAATCCAGGTTATTAAATGTTTCAGCATTGCCACTCCAGGTGTGGCCTGGGAACCATCAACACTAGACCAGTTATTAGAAATGAAGACTCTCAGTCCTCATCCCTGAAAAAGGAAATAAGAATCTTCCTTTTAACAAGACAGTCCAGGGCACGTTTCTCAGAGAAGTAACAAAATAAGAGAAATTCTCTCTTTGATGGTTTAGAATGAAGCAACTTCGATGACGAAGTTAAAACAAAGTGATCTCAGCCCCAACATTGGGTTTGTGACAACAATCACGTACCTCTGTTTTCCTCATCTGTAAAATGGGGATGATAAATTTAGCATGGCGCGTGGTAAGTGCAGAGATTGAAGCTGGGGTGCAGTAAGCCATTACAAACAGGGCTAATAAATCCTTCTTGTTAGGCATGTTTCAACAGTCCTGGCACTCTGTGAGAGCTGGGGCTCTTCGCACAGTGCTTGGCACATAGTAAGCCCTCAGCTTTCTGTTTAATAAGTAACTAGCGGGAGCGCAGGTAACAGCTACCAATTTTTTACTTGGATTGCCCTGTTCTATCAGAACATAACACTCTCAAAACTGCCAGTTTTCTCCCTTACAAGTTTCAAAACTGCGCCAGCTCCCACCTCCACCAGTGAGGCTGGAAGTCACAGAAAAGGTTAATTTATACTGTGTATATCATTCATGCTAGAACTCTCGCTGATTACAGACTCAGAAGGCTCAACCATCCATCCTCTCTAACGCCCCCCCCCAATTGTTACTCCGTCCACTGTTCTCCCTAAGCCACGCCCACGGGGGGGCCACCCTTCCCATCAAGCTCCTCCCCCTCCCCCTCCTCAAGGCCCTGTCGCCGCAGGCCTCTCGGCCTTCCGGTCGCACCTCACACTCAATCCAGCCGCCGAGCTCTAGCCGCAGGCCACGCCCTCGTCTGCGGCTCCAGTAGACCCAGGCAGCTCCAGTGGCGTCCGCACGCCCCCGCAGGCCTCCTGGTGGCGCGAGGGTGGGAGGAAGGCCCGAAGCCTGGCCCCGGGAGCCGCGCCACCGCCCCAGGTTAGGTAGGGCCAGAGGGGCGGGCGGGGCCGGGGCCCTGGCCCCCGAGGCCTCGCGAGAGGGGCGGGGCCGCGCGGTGGGCGGGGGCGGGCCTGAGGGAGGCCGCGCGGGCCTAGCAGCTGCAGTACGCGTTTGTTTGCTGCGTGTGGGCTAATGGTTACGGGCGCTAGCAGGCTTCGTGCGGCCCACGCGCGCCGTCGCGCCCAAAGAGTGGGCGCCGCGCCGGCCTTCCAGTGGGGACAGCCTGTACATTGTGATTGCACCTTTCCCCGTGCCGGACGAGGTGAGGAGGCGGTGGCCGGGCCCAAGGAGGAGGGAGGGGACGGAGCGTGACAGCCCTGGGCGCCGCCCCCTCGGCGCTGCAGGTCCGCGGCGCGGCGACCCTGAGGCACTGGGGTCGGGCTCGGGGAAGACGGCGCGCGTGCCCCTCCTTGGAGAGAGCGGAGCCACCTGGGCCGACGGCGCTTTGGGGATCCCCTGAAAGGCAGGAAGGAGGGCGGGACGGGGACAGCGAGCCCGAGGTGGACCCGCCCGTGTCTCTCCTAGTTAGAAATTGTCCTTGGGGAAGATGGAAGGGGAGAAGCGGCCGGCGCCCTACGAGGGCCTGTTTGCGGACGGGCACCTGGTCCTGTGGACGCTGTGCTCGGTGCTGCTGCCCGTGTTCATCACCTTCTGGTGCAGCCTCCAGCGGTCGCGCCGGCAGCTGCACCGCAGGGACATCTTCCGCAAGAGCAAGCATGGGTGGCGCGACACGGACCTGTTCAGCCATCCCACCTACTGCTGCGTGTGCGCGCAGCACATCCTGCAGGGCGCCTTCTGCGACTGCTGCGGGCTGCGCGTGGACGAGGGCTGCCTCAAGAAGGCCGACAAGCGCTTCCACTGCAAGGAGATCATGCTCAAGAATGACAGCAAGGCCCTGGACGCCATGCACCACCACTGGATCCGGGGCAACGTGCCCCTGTGCAGTTACTGTGTGGTTTGCAAGCAGCAATGCGGCAGTCAACCCAAGCTCTGCGATTACAGGTACAGCCTTTGTGGGTACTGATTGTCCCACAATGCTTGGAGGGAGTCAGGATTTCAAAGAGTGGGTGTAGCAGCCTGCTTTGATCTCCACAAATGGCCTCAACTGCCCACTTAGAGGACACAAGCTAATAAATAGCCCTGATATTATACACAGTGAGGAAGCTTTGCAATAGTCATTTGCCTCGTTGATTCATCTAGCCTACACTCCTTAGCCAACCTGCCCTTTTGGGTAATAAAACTTGGCACTTAGCTTTCATCCAGAGGTCTCTAAGTGCCACATACTTTATGGCCACTGTATGTTATATTTTAGCTTTTGTTTCTATTGTTTAGCTCCATTTTGCATGAGAAAAAATGAAGTATGAACAAATTAACTTTTCCCTAGAGTCTCAAAACTGATTCATCCTGGGTGTTGTGTTATGAATGTACAATGAAGACAAGTGTCATTCCAGAGGAGCACTTTAAGTATCTTTTCTAATCTATATTCGGTGCTATAGTGAAATACACTCCAAAAGAACACTCCTTTTGCCAGATGGTCTTTCAGGACCTGTAGCATCTTAGACAAGTGACTTTGATTAATCCAAGGATATTTTAATCGCTTTTAAATACACACTGGACAACACATTTGTGTTCTTAAATATTGTCTGAAAATAGGTGAAGATGTCCTTTGCTCATGTTAGAGGTTGGTAATAAAAGGGGATGCTGCTTTGCAGTTTATCTGTTCTAACTCATTTTACATTTGAGAGAATTTGATAGTTCAGAGAAATTTACTCAGTGGTAAAGTAGAACTGGCATCCCGGATTTCTAACCCCCAGTACAGGGTTAGGAATACTAACCCCTAGCCTCTTCTCTGTCTTAAGTCTGGACATCTTCATTGTGATGGGTTTTGTTTCTGACAAGTTGAAAAGTCCCTAAACATATTTAAGAACAGAAATAGAAAGCTGGCATGAGACAGCAAGTTACTTTTTTGATTATATTTTGTTTATTTTATTTAAAAATCCTTTTTTTAATTAGCATGAGCATTGTTATATCAACAATTACTTTTAAATCTTATTTTAAATAATTTTATACTTAAGATTTAGACTTTAAAAATTACCAAAATATATACTTTAAACAACTACAGAGATTTATAACCATTTTTACTTGATATCTTTCAAATTTAGATGTCTTTTTTGCATCAGTGAGAGCTAGGTTACCAGTGTCTTTTAAAATTTTTCATAATTGTCTCCCTAGTTAAGCTTCAGTCTTGGAGAATTGAGATTAGTTGGAAAGAAGGCATGAATTGAATATTGTTTTATTTCCTTCCCTTCTTTGTGTCTGTGCAGAATTAGATTAAAATGGCTTCTATAAATATCTTAACTGCATTTCATATACTCCTTAACAAATAATCATAATGCTCTGATTCTCCAACCAAATGATCTTTCTAGAAATGCATATCTGATTGGGGTTTCTGCTCTGTTTAAAACCCTTCAATTACCCCCATCACTTAAAGTGATGGTCTTTCAGTGTTAACTCCAAGTGCTTAACGTGGTATACAAGGTCCTCGTGCTCTCTGGACCCTGCCTGCCTGTCTAGTCTTTTCTGCCACCATCTGCATTAAACTTTATGCACCAGCAACATCAGGCTGGTTGTGGTTTCCTTTAAATACCCTTTTCATACTACCCTTTTTTTCCTCAAGGCTTAAGTATCCTCCTCCTGGCTAGCTTCTAGGCATCCTTCAAAGATTTTTTTTTTTTTTTTTAATTTATTGGGCTGTGCCGTGTCTTAGTTGCAGCATGCGGGAACTTTTAGTTGCGGCATGCAGGATCTAGTTCCCTGACCAGGGGTCGAACCCTGGCCCCCTGCATTGGGAGTGCAGAGTCTTAACCACTGGACCACCAGGGAAGTCCCTCTAGGCATCCTAATGACTCATCTTGTGCCCTTTACTCCAGGAACACTTGCCTAATCTACTCACCCCTGCCCCCAATTTTTCCTTCTTAATGATGACATCATATCCTATATCTCAGTAGTCCTCAAAGTAAGGTCCCCAGACCAGCGGCATCAGTATCACTTGGAAACTTGTTACAAATGCAAATTCTAACACAGATTTAGATTTAGCACACAAAATTAAATAAAATATTTGTATTTAATACAAAATAAAATGTTTACAATATTTGAGACATACTTAGACCAAAAATTATTTGTTGTTTATCTATAATTCACATTGAACTGAGCATCTTCTATTTTTCCTGGCAGTGTTAGCCCCAGCCCAGACACACTGAATCAGAAACTTGGGCTGGCAACCAACAATCTTTGCCTAACAGGCGCTGCAGATAATTCTAAAGTTTAAGAACCACTGCTATATTTATGTACTTCTTAAACATGAGCCCCTGTCCTTAATTCTGTGTTCCCTCCTTTGAGCACAGTGAACATGGCAGTGATAGGTCTTCTTTTCTGCCTTAGCTTGTTCTTACTGGTTACTAAGCAGTCTGTTCCCAGCATGCTGGAACTCCTCACCTATGGTAAAAATGGTTCCTGTATAATTTAGGAAGGGTTTATTATTCCCAGGAGAAGAGAGCACAGTGTCCTGAAGTAGTAAGCATTTTATAATATTCTGATTTATTTTAGCAGATAATTTTATGCAGGATTACAGTCTGCTGTGACCTTCTGTAGGAATGAGATATTTTGGAAAAAGGAACAGAATAAATATTTACAACCTTTAAACACAGATCAGACTGTCCCTCTCTGGATTTTATCCAGCCCTGAGAAGGGCTCCTTCTGTGTCTGCGTCACATTCTTGGGAAGTCTAAGATTTCAAGTGAACTGTGAAGACTGTTCAACAAGGTAGCATTTTGAAGGGCCATATGACAGGTGGTGACTGATTTTAAAGGCTACAGAATAAGTGACAAAGGACTTTTAACTTATACTCATTGTCATTATTTAGTTTTCACGTATTAAGCATATATTTTGTGCCAGGCACTGTGCTGGATCCTATTTTCCCTGTAGGCTTCTTTCTTTTCTGTGTTTTCCTGCCTCTGCCCCAACCACGGCAGAGTATGTCTGCACCTGGTATCATCTTATCACTGCTCCCCACACTTCTTTTGTTTCTTCTAACCTCTATTCTGACTAAAATAGGAAATCAGGTTCTATTTTAAGTATTCATTATGTTTATTGAATAAACCTTTGTTCCTTATAGTGTTCTGTCATTAAGAAAATTTTTTGGTTTATATTGTATTTTTATTTATAAAAACCTTTATAAAACACTTTTTTATTTATTAAAAAACCTTTTATTTATAAGGCCTTTTCTTCATTACACCCCCCTGCGCGCGCGCGCACACACACACACACACACACACACACACACACACACAGTGATTAATAAAACAGGCTTCTGACTCTTACAAGGTAATTACATTGGCAGCTTTACTCTAAGCTTTGATCTTAAACTTTGTGATTCTGGATTCTAATGTTTATTCATTTCATTAATTATCTGAAACAATGAAAGGATACCAAATTATCTTCTGGAGCAGAGGTGAGCATACTTTTTCTATAAAGAGCCAAACTAAGTATTTCAGGCTTTGCAGACCATATGGTCTGTTATAATTACTTCACTCTACCGTCCATCATAGTACAAAACTAGCAACGGACAGTACATAAATGAATGGCGTAGCTATAGTCCAGTAAAACGTATTCACAAAATTAGGAGGCAGATGTATTTGTAGTTTGCCAACCCCATTCTAGTGTGAATGTCATAGATGACCATCTCAGCTTCGCATGTAATTCTGTTGCCTCTTCCAGCATACTAAAGGAGAGAGCTATTGTGAACAGGTAACTTTAGAGAAAACTTTTTTTTTTAATAAAACAGTCACACTCCTGTCCAAGAATGGCACATAGGGTAATGTTCTGTGTCTTCATAAGGATAAGTTACATAATTATGTTTACTTGCCAAAACTCAGCAGATGTACGTATTTGTACATTTCATCGTATATAAATTTTACATTGAAAGAAAAAAACCTGTAAACAAATACTGAACTCAAGGTAATGATATGCCTGCTTTTGCCGAGGTGTTTAGGAGATATTCTAATGTCTGCGATTTATTTTTAATGCACCAAAAATAAGATAGATTAATGGATAGATAGAAATGAAACAAAGGAATTACAGTTAATATATTAATGTTGGAATATAGGTGGTGGGCTTACCTGTGTTCCTGTAAAAAAAATTTTTTTAATGCAAAAACACTTTAAAAAGCAGGGAACTAATAAGAACCTACTGTATAGCACAGGGAACTCCAGTCAGTACTACTCTGTAATGGCCTATATGGGAAAAGAATCTAAAAAAGAGTGGATATATGTATAACTGATTCACTTTGCTGTACACCTGAAAGTAACACAACATTGTAAATCGACTATACTCCAATAAAAATTAAATATATGTATGTGTGTGTGTGTGTGTGTGTATAAAAGCAAGGAGACTATCATTGTTTTTTGGAAATACTTGCTGAAGTATTGAAAGGTGAAATCTCATAATGTCCATAATTTACTTTCAAATGATTCAGCAAAATATGAGTTTATTTTGAAAGAGAGAAAGAAAATGTGGGAGAAAATGTTACTTAAGAATCAGAGTTAAGGGTTGGTTTAAGGGTATTCATTTTGCTATTTTTTTGACTTCTGTGTAGGTTTAAAATTTTTCAAAATAAAAAGTTGGGGAAAGAATAAAGATCATAAACAATCACTCAAAGACATGACTGCTAAAACTAAAGTATCAAGACATTATTAGTAATGTCTTATTTTCCCATCAAGTTTGAAATCTAGGTCAAATAAAATACCAGTTACAAAATATATATCGAGAACAGGTCTCGATTTTGATTGTGGTATTTCTCAGGAAAAATATAAAGCTGAGTAAGGAGTAAGTATTTTGGCTTTACCTTTACAGAGCAAAGGCCGATAATAGCCATCACCTTGGTTAAGAGTCTTTTCTGAAATTTATGAGAACTTATTAAATGATAAAGGTGTCACAAATCAGTGGGATAGAAAAGATTACTTTATAAATCATGCTAGGACATGTGCTCTTTGAGGTTATAAAAGTTGACTCTTCATATCACACTCTATACCAAAATAAACTCCAGATGGATTGAAGCAGGAGTTCTTAGTTCATAGATAGATAAGCTTCCAGGAAGTCTGACACTTTCATGAGATTCTCAGTGGAATCTGTAGCCCCAGAAGATTAAGAGGCACTGAATTAAAGGCATAAATATGAAAACTGAAGTGTGAGGGGGGAATAGCTATAGGCAAATATCTAATTTGGAAAGGTAGAGGACTTCAGAGCATGAAAGCATTTAAATCACAAAGAGAAATACAGATCTGTCTAGCAAAAAATAAACTAAAGTACATTAAAAGGTAAATTTAAGAGAAAACTGAAATGTTTGCAATAATTATGACAGAAAAGAAGTTGATATCCTACATAAATAAAAAGTACATGCAGTTATTATAACCTAGTAAAAGATGAATATAGACCATGAATCAATTCACAAAAAATTATGATATATCCATGTGATATGATACTAATACATTCTTAACAAAACATGTTTTTAAAAAAATACTTAATGGCATAGGACAGAATTCATGATACAATTTCCAAAGAAAAGTACTGTCCAGATACATATATAAAAATACATCATATCCCTAACGTGAAAAATAAACATATAGGGACTGTAAAACTGAGAATAAATACATCAAACAGTTAAGAGTAACTATCTCTGGATAACTTTTATGTCTTTCTGTATTTTCTAAATTCTAAAGCGTATGCCAATATCATCTAGAATACAGTTTTAAAAATTTATACAAGTAGTTCATGAATACATACTGGTGTTTAGAAACTCAAGCAATACAAGAGAACATAGAGTAAAAAGAGAATGTTCTTCTCATCCCTCGGTCCCATTTTTCTTCCCAGAGGAAACCATTGTGAAATAATTCAGTGGGTTTCCTTTCAGGTTATTTTCAGTAATAATATACTAGTTTAAAGTTAACAGTAGAGCAGTAGGTGGAGGTGGTATACTTTGGCTGCATTAGCAGTCTATCCTCGTTTCTCAAGCTTAGGTTGAAAGCAAGTGTTAACAACGTTATCATGCAAGTTAATTTACAGTTTTCCCTTTAACAGATCCTGCAGATAATTGTAATTTCCGCAGTAAATAGGATTCTTGAGTTAATTGCAGTAATTACTTGATAAAACTGAACACCCAGCTGAAAAAAAACTTTAAAATAGAAGTCCAAGAGAGTTGACCTTGGGGTGAAAGAGTTTTTAATCCTCTTTTTATTTTTAATTTATTTATTTAATTATAACCGTTGTTTTCTGTTGACCTGTTTTTGTCTGTACAGTCAGATTTGCCTTATCTGTGAGTGGATTAAATACTTAGTAGATTAATAATAGAAACCCAGGACCTTTGCCAGCACTATTCTCTGCTTGTTTCATGCATGCATTCAAATGTAGAGGCAAATTTGAACATAAATATCTGTCTGTACTTCAGATGCAAACATATAGATTAGTTTCATTTTAACTGCCAATAAGAAGTTGACTATTTTACTATATTTGCTAAAGTGTTCACAGATGGTTATAAGTCAGGAGGTTTTCACACTGGACCCTGAGGAACTCTTTTAAGGACCCAGGCCAATGGGGCATTTAAGCTGAAGGCCTTTAGGCCTCACGAACCTATTCCAGCCAAAGCACAAATCGATAGTACACAAAACCATTGTTCTAGACCAGCTTTGTTTATGTGGATTATATCTACTAATATTTACCACGTTGTAAATTAAAACTGAGAAATTGTTTAAATATTCATTTTAAAAATAACAATAATGGTAACAAAATATTCTTGTGAAAATTCAGTGAGAAGATTGGCATCGTTTTACTTTTTTGGTACATTTCTTTGGTGTGGAAGTCAGCTAGCGCCTCCTATCTACTTCTGCATTCGGTCTGTTGATTTAGCACATATCATATAGCTTCCGGAAAACTCCACCGTATACTTCGGATAGAATGAAGGTGAAATAACATATTATTATTAAAATGATTTTAACCTCAGAGACACCCTGAAAGGATCTTCCCCAGACCGCACTTTAAGAACCACTGTTAGATTAAACTGTCAAGTATGCTCAAAGTTTATTGTTCTAGGGACTTCCCTGGTGGTCCAGTGGTTATGACTCTGCCCTTCTACTGCAGGGGGCATGGTTTTGATCCCTGGTCAGGGAACTAAGATCCCACATGCCGCATGGCCCCCCCCCAAAAAAAAAGGGCATTAAAAAAAAGTTTATTGGTCTATTTTCACTGTGCAGATACAATTATAAATTTTTTATTTGCCAGATTTTTTCATTGGTGATAAAATTACTATTTCAGTTTTTTTTTTTTGACAAAAATGATTGGTTTGCAGATGAGTAAGATTGTGGTTTAAAGTCAATTATTGTCTTTGTTTTTTCCTTCCCTCAGGTGCATTTGGTGTCAGAAAACAGTACATGATGAGTGTATGAAAAATAGCTTAAAGAATGAACAGTGTGATTTTGGAGAATTCAAAAACCTCATCATTCCACCAAGTTATTTAACCTCCATTAATCAGATGCGTAAAGACAAAAAAACAGATTATGCAATGGTAATCAGAGTTTACTTTTCCTTATGTAACTGATTTCCAAAAAGTTATTTAAGTCAGTGTATGAAACACAACTGTGTGTGTGAGAAGAATCATTATGGTAAGCCATAATACCCTACCCACTTGCTAAAGATGTGCCACAAATTTTGGCGCTTGAGTTCTTTCAGGTCTAAAGGGAAATTGGAATATGTTATATTAGTGGTTCCTAAATCACTGAGTCCAAATCACTTGAGGAGCTTTTTAAAAACACAGACTTCTGAGCCCATCTCCATCACCATGTTTGATTTAGTAGATCTAGGGTAAGTCCCAGGAATCTGTATTTTTTTAAAGTCCTCAGATGATTCTGATGAACAGTCGGATTTGGGATTCATGATTATTGTCAGTGAAAAGAAAACATTTTCCTCACACGTTGTTCTAAAAGAATTTTTTCGTTTGGAACCTCACGTAGGGTGCCTGGAGATAAGTTTATGTTGCACCTTAGATGCTCCCACAGATAATGGTGAGCATTAAAGCTGTTGACAATACTTGACAGTATGTATGTGTATGAAAATTGGTACAGACATCTTTCAGTCTTCATGTAGTTCTGAAGGAAAAACTGTAAAATCTGCATTTATTTCCTGCTTGAATGTCCCAAAGTAGTTAAACTATTTCATTCTAAAACTAAATAGTGTTTCTTCCAAGTTCAGATTTTATATCTTAAATGTCATCTTTGTCAATATTCCTGCAAAAGAAAGAGGGATGTTAAAATTTTAAAACATGTTTAATGTTGTTGTGATACTTTTTTTTAAATGGACAACCCTTATGTATCTGAATTCAATCTGAGATCAGAGGGGATGAGAATCACTAAGTAAAACCGTGGAACATCTTCATTAATGTTATATCCACAAGGAGAAGGGGAGAGGAAAGAAGTGGATAGATTAGAGAAACATTAATTTCATTTGACTTTGGGCTTTGTACAGTTCTGGATTCTTGAATCTATTTCTGAATATCCCATTAAAAAAAAAAGCTTGAAAATTAGAATTTATCCAGAAAAGGACAGTCAGGGTTAAGAGAGCAGAGAAGATCAATGTCCATTCTATGAAGGGTTGAAACATGTTGCCTGGGAGACAAGACTAATAAACAACATAATGCTTCAGGTGTTTGAACACAACAGTTATATGAAAGAACAAATGAAATTATTCCTTGCCTCAGGAATCAAAAGTAGAACAATGAAAGTTATTGAAAGACAGATTTTTAACTCAATTTAAGTCAGAACTTTCTAATAATTTGATTTAGTAGTGGAATGGGCCGCCTTGTTAGTGAATTCCTTCTGACATGAGTATCCAACTATATACTGGATGACTTATCTAGAATAATGTAGAAGAGAATTATATATTAAGCAGAAATTAGTTCATTTCTAAGGAACTTTTCCATTCTTAGAATTCTTTGATTTTTATATTGTGTCGATTGGGATAGTTGTTGTTCTCTCAGCAAATTTACAGCACTGTTGTTATTAAGAAATGAAAAAACTTATTGCTCACCATCTGTGAGATGTTAAGGTCTTTTCACTCACATTAATTTTTTTAGCTAGCATCTAAGCTTGGAAAGCAGTGGACTCCATTAATAATCCTGGCCAACTCTCGTAGTGGAACTAATATGGGAGAAGGACTGCTGGGAGAATTCAGGATCCTCCTAAATCCCGTACAGGTAACCAAAGAGAAAACCTTCTTTTCTGTATTAATCTTTTCATTTTTAGTTTTGCATTTTCCCTAAATTGTAATGGTCGTTAATGCTTGAAACCAGTAATCATCTGATTGTAGGGAAGAGTAATAATTATGAAAGTATTGAGCCATTCCAATATGTGGAGAAAGAGGGGTTCTCATGGTGGGGATGTAAAATGCTCTAGCAACTTTAGAAAACACTTGGACAGTTTCTTAAAAAGTCAAACAGGGACTTCCCTGGTGGTCCAGTGGCTAAGGCTCCATGCTCCCAGTGTAGGGGGCCCAGGTTCGACCCCTGGTCAGGGAACTAGATCCCACATGCCACAGCTGAAAGATCCCACACACCGCAACTAAAGATCCAGCAACGCCGCAATGAAGATCCTGCATGTGGCAACGAAGATCCCGCGTGCCACAGCTAAGACCCAGCGCAGCCAAATAAATAAATAGATATTTTTTTAAAACAAGAAAGTCAAACATAAATTTACCGTACCCCCTAGAACTTCTAGGAATCTACCCAAGGGAAACAAAAACATATATTCCACAAACACTTTTATGCAAATGTTCATAGCACCATTATTCATAATAGCCAAAAAGTGAAAATACCCCACTGTCCATCCGTCGGTGGCTGGATAAAACAAAATGTGATATACCCATATGAATGGCATATTCAGTGATAAAAAGAAACTACTGATACATACATACATACTACAATAAATAAACCTCAAAAACATGCTGAGTGAAAGAAGCCCAATGCAAGGGACCCATATTGTATGATTCCATTTATATGACATGTTCAGAAAGGGTAAATCTATAGAAACAGAGAGTAAAACAGTGATTGCTGGAAACTGGGAGTAATTGCACACCAACATTTTTAAATGTAAGAATAAAAGAGACCATTAAGATTGAGCTGACATGCTAGCAGCTTCTATTTTGAAAAACTGAACAACTCATTGTGCAACAATCATAAATGCAGTAACTTTTCTTTCTAATTTGTAATTTTCCCTTTCAACATTATACAACTTAAGGAAATATAAAAATAATTTTAAAAGGAAAGAGAAAGGGGAGTTCCCTGGCTGTCTGTTGGTTAGGACTCAGCACTTTCACTGCCGTGGCCTGGGGTTCAATCCCTGTTCAGGGAACTAAGATCCTGCAAGTCACGTGGCGCAACCAAAATAAATAAATGAATAAAATTTTAAAATAAAAGGAAAGAAAATCACCTGCATTATCTCCACACAAATACATCAGTTGTTTTCAGTTGTCCATGTTCTTTCCATGAATTGTCTGTGCATTTACATATTAGCATTTCTGTAACAATAATCTAGGTACAAGTTTACATTCTGTTTTCTTTACCTAAAAGTATATTTTTCCGTGTTGCAACATAGTCCTCATAATTATGTATGAAATGACTAAGGAATAATCAAATGGATATATCTATATTTATCCAGTCTCCTGCTGTTGGAGGTCAAGTTTCTCTCTAAGGTTGTGCCATTATAAATAATGCCACACTAAATATCTTTACACACAGGGCATTTTCGTCTTTTGAAATATTTTCCTAGATCATTTACAGAATTATAGGTATCAAGGATCCTTTCACCTTTATGTCATTTTATGCATATAGCAGAATTGTTTTCCAGAAATTGGTACTAACTTGCACTAGTAATGGAGTTTTTAAATCCAGTATAAAATGTGAAGCAGTAGTTAAAGGTGAACTTAGCACAGCCTGGTTTTATGTGAACAGCAAAGAGGCAGTATTGTATAGTGGATAAACTACAGGATTGAATTTGTATGTCAGCACCTAATTATCAGAGGAAGGGTAGGCAAGTTATTTAACCTTCCTGTGCCTCCATTTCCTGGACAGTAGAGTGAGGTTTACTCGTGCTTTGTAGGGTCAGCATTGGGATGATCCACAGTGAATATAGTCTGGCATAGTGCCTGGCATATTGTTAAAGATAAACGCATCGTAGCCAGTATTGTTATTTATACATATCTATGTACTCATCTAGAAGGAAATTATCCTCACAGATGGATGACAGTGTTGGATAAAATAATTTTCTCCTTTTCTTTCACGTCTAGGTTTTTGATGTTACTAAAACCCCCCCTGTCAAAGCCCTGCAACTTTGTACTCTTCTTCCCTATTACTCAGCTCGAGTCCTTGTTTGTGGAGGGGATGGGACTGTGGGCTGGGTCCTGGATGCAGTTGATGAAATGAAGATTAAGGTATCCATCTTTAAGACCTACTTGCCTTTCACAGAAGACTTCTAAGATAACTATACAGTATTTGTGCTTATATTTTTTATTATGCAGATGAATATTAGAAGACATTGCCAATTTTAAATATTGTGATTGAGCAGTTATTATTATATTTGTATCTTTATTGCTTTGGCTTTAAATTTTACCAAATACTATTACCCTACAAATAGTCTGAAGAGAAAAATCAAAAATATATCTTCTGGGCTTCCCTGGTGGTGCAGTGGTTGAGAATCTGCCTGCCAATGCAGGGGACACAGGTTCGAGCCCTGGTCTGGGAGGATCCCACATGCCGCGGAGCAACTAGCCCCGTGAGCCACAGTTACTGAGCCTGCGCGTCTGGAGCCTGTGCTCTGCAACGAGAGGCCGCGATAGTGAGAGGTCGGCGCACCGCGATGAAGAATGGCCCCCCGCTTGCCGCAACTAGAGAAAGCCCTCACACAGAAATGAAGAGCCAACACAGCCATAAATAAATAAATAAATAAAATATTTTTTTTTAAAAAAAAAATATATATATATATATCTTCTATATTGTAGGGACAAGAGAAATACATTCCACAAGTTGCAGTCTTGCCTCTGGGAACAGGCAACGATCTATCTAATACCTTGGGTTGGGGTACAGGCTATGCGGGAGAAATCCCAGTTGCACAAGTCTTAAGAAACGTGATGGAAGCAGATGGAGTTAAACTAGATAGGTAAGTTATTCTTCCCCCCAAAAGTAGATTTCTTGAGCTTTGGGAATATTGTTTGGATTATAAATGAAAACTTGTATAGTTATAAAGTTAAATGTAATTTAAATGTAAAAAACTATGTTAGTTGTACTTATACATGGATACTGGTGTTTTATTTTGTTGCTGTATATTTTGTTGTTATGTAAGGACTGAGGTCATAAATTAGGCTGAGTACTCATTTCAAAACTTACATACTCGCTTAAATGTGCTTATTTCTCCAAATGCTATTTTAATAGAACAGCCTCGTCTACCAGGTGTCCAGAGTTGATTGGTAATAATTATAGTTAATTGGCAGTTAATTTAATAATAATTACTGATTCTTTTTTTAACTTCTGTTTTAGATGGAAAGTTCAAGTAACAAATAAAGGATACTACAACTTAAGAAAACTCAAGGTACGTTTTTAGGGCTGCAGTTTCGAGTGGTCTCAACAAGCATGATGGAGTGCTTCCATTGTGGTGCTGTGGTGGGACACAGCGGACAGGTCCTTATCTCTAGGGAGCTGGTTATGAAATAGGCTGGGGGTGTGCCTGGTTCCGCCCTGGTAGATCAGGCTGGAAATACTTCAGGGGAAGTGACCTGGGATTTGGTCCTTAAAATTTAAATACAATTTAGATCAACAGAGAAAGGAACAAAAGGCTTCCCAGGTAGAGGAAATAGAGACGAGAGGGTGCACATCATGGTTAGTAAATAGCAAATAATACAGAGATAGCAGATCTGTAGTTTTAAAAAGATACTCTGGAGATAGTGTGAAAATCGCTTAGAAACCTGCACTATGACCCAAAAAAAGGGAATCTTAGGATGAGGACAATTCAGAGACGTTTTAGAGGTGGAATTGATCAAGACTTGGCAGCTGATTGGTATTAGGGGAAGCGAGAAAAAACATTACTGCCAGATTTCTAGTTTTTATGACGGGATGTATAGAAGTGACATTAACCAAGATAAGAAAAATAGAGTTTCAGGTTTGAATAGGAAGAAAATGCATTAAGATTTTGGGCATGTCACCCTTGAGTCTGTGGCCCACTGAACAAGAAGTCAGAAATGCAAGCTTATTGCTCAGGAAGATGATTAAGTGCAGCTAGGTTGAGGGAATCCAGGCTGGATTGGGAAGTAAGATAAGTTAAGCGGGGACCAATACCCTGATTGAGACTGAAAAAGCTGAGAGCCTGAGAGTTGCAATGGAAGTAAAAAGCAAATGTAATGGGAACACAGGAGTGGAAAGCTTGGGTGCAAAGTAGAGCCATTTAGATGTAGCATATTAACCAGAAATGGAAAGTGAAATTTGTATCTTATAGGATCAGCCTTTGAACTGAAGCGTTATCTCTGGAAACTTCACTGGATAGCATAAAATAACTCTACGCAAGAAGTGAATGCAGAAAGTACTTAATTTTCATAAAGAACACAAAGACTAAGATTTACATATTTATTATATAACACAGGCTTGGATGGAAGCATAATCTGTTGCTTATTTTTACCCTTTTCCACAGGAATTCACAATGAACAACTATTTTTCTGTTGGACCTGATGCTCTTATGGCCCTCAATTTTCATGCTCATCGTGAGAAGGCACCATCTCTGTTTTCTAGCAGAATTCTTAATAAGGTGTGTTGGATAAAATAACCTTTCCTGCTTATCACCTAAGGTACAGTAAAAATCAATAGTTCAATTATATCTAGCACTCTTTCAACTAGATTGAGATAGAACTAACTTATGGAAACATTTACCTGTTCTGTTTTATGTAAGACTGTCAAATTAGATCCTTAAATGTATTTTATTAAAGTATTTCGTAACCATGACAAAATTTTTTTAACTCAGAGTTGGGATGTTTTACAGCATATTTCGCTTAGATGGCAACTAAATGGAATATATGAGAGCTTATCTTACTTAAATGGCAAGTAGAATTGGAAATAAATTTAGGCAGGATAAATTTTTGGTGAAGTCATTAATGGAAAACTAGATTCCATTGGCCTGAAAAGACTCTAAAAGGCAGTTGAGGTAAGAAAAGGAGCAGTTTGTTTACCGCACTTTTAACTGAGATCATCTCTGGTTTCTAGTACAATTGATTCCTTTGGTGGAAGTTTTGTCTTGGAATTTCTTTAATGACTTTTGGTGATTGAGCAATAGGATGCAAAAAATAGATACAAAACAGTTTTGTTCCTGGTTCTGTTTTACAAATATTTCAAATTTACAAATAGCTCTCTTTTATTAATATAGTTACTAAGGCAATAAGAATTGCTGTTTATACAGTTGCTAATTAACATCTCAGTGCTTCCATCAACCTTTCTGTATTCAAAAGTGATTATAAAATGTTTGCTAGATTTACCTGTGTTACTTTCATTAAGTAATCTGAAATACTAGTAAAAGGTGGCATTTTCTAATTTTAACACAGTATTTCTTTATAAGGTGTACCTTTTTGGATAAACTGGGAGAAAACAGCATTTAAGCACAAACCACCCCATCCTACATTCCCCTGAAAAAATGGGCTAAAATTAAACTAAGAAGTAATGGTGCCCCTTCTTCCATCTGTATCTAGTCCACTCTATGGATACATGACTCAACCATCACATCAAGGAGCTTTGGTTCAGTGTCTTTTTCTTGCTTACAGGGCTTGTTAGATTGCTTTAATATCATATTTTCTGTCCATTTCTCATAGGCTGTTTACTTATTTTATGGAACCAAAGATTGTTTAGTGCAAGAATGTAAAGATTTGAATAAAAAAATTGAGGTAAGCTTTTTTTTTAACATCTTTATTGGAGTATAGTTGCCTCACAATGGTGTGTTAGTTTCAGCTTTATAACAAAGTGAATTAGTTATACATACACATATGTTCCCATATCTCTTCCCGCTTGCATCTCCCTCCCTCCCATGCTCCCTATCCCACCCCTCCAGGCGGTCACAAAGCACTGAGCTGATCTCCCTGTGCTATGCGGCTGCTTCCCACTAGCTATCTACCTTACGTTTGGTAGTGTATATATGTAAGCTTTTAAACTTTTAGGTGGTCTCTGGATTATGAACTTTTTTTTAACGAAAATGCTGAACTTTCTATTAACATATTTTGCTAACACATAGGGAGTATTTATTGTGTACCAGCCACTTTACTAATTGCTTTATACACATTTTCCCACTGAATTCTCACTACAACCTGTAAGGCAGGTACTATTATATTCCCATCTCACAGAAAACTATTTGAAATTAAATAACTTGCCCACATTCACAAAGTGCCCAAGGATATAGGTAACCAGGATTTGAACCCGGGATTATGTAACTCCAGAGTCTGTTACATAGACAGACTCTGAACAGCGTCCATGTGAGTTGTCTGACACAGTGCCTAACTCATCATGTACTCTCAGAGGAAGTTTAAGCCCAAAGTTTAACTCCTATTATGGTTGTGATGTATCTCTCTTACATACTAAAGCAAAATAGAAATGTATGAGCAGTAGAGATAGGATATTCATGATTGCTTATTGCTACAGCACCCCTGACATCACGATATGGCAAAGTTTTATATGTATTCCTTGCTTGCTTCAGAAAAGAATCTGTAATGGTTAATAGCAATGGCAAAGACATTAATACAGAGAAACCTAGAACTACTAAAATAAGTAAAAGGGGGGACTTACTCCGCAGTCCAGTGGTTAAGACTCCACACTTCCACTGCAGTGGGCATGGGTTTGATCCCTAGTTGGGGAACCAAGATCTCACATACCATAGCTGAGCCAAAAAAAAAAAAGTAAGAAGGGAAGAGCCAAACAATAAACAACTTAGGGAAAGGGTGAA